CTCCATTGAACCCGCTGGAACGCCACTCAACCAAGCCCTTGCTCGGTCACGCAGAGAATATGGAAATAGCTTTAACTTCAGGACATCTTCGTGCACTCCTTGTTGGCGAAAGGAATCACACACCTCCAAGAAGTTACGAATATGTTATCTGGCATCTTCATTTGGCATGCCCCTAATAAACAAGTAAAATAAAAATGCTATGACAAAACAATTTAACTTACACTTGCCAATTCTCCGGCAACAGCGCCAAAAACTTGTCCGCTCTATGTGAGTACTAAATATGAGTTTGGATATATGTGCAAGTATACATAATCGAACAAGTAATGAAGTGATAAGTGAGTATCGTCTCCATAGGGAATCGAGGAAATCAAATAGGTTTGTCACAACACTTTACTTTGTCACCTAAGTAAAGTTAGTGATGGTATATACAAATGAGAATGTTGAGGCAAAATAGAATGATTGATGTGGAAAAAGAATGGTGGTAGTGTGGTAGCAAATGGATATTTTGTGGCAAAGTAAATTGTGATGCATGCAAACAAATGAAAATGTCAAGGCGAAATAAAATGTAAATAATGGATTTAATATGTAGGACTTTAGTTTTCTCACACGACAAGCTGTTATGGGAATGAGTGATAGGAGTCACTAGGAAAATCTAAGTCTATTTCTCCGAATGGTATCTCTTCTATTCCTAGTCTGCCCGACAGAGTCTATTGAGGTGCCCTATGCTATATCTAGTAAGAGACTCGACAGATTAAAGATGCCTTGGCAAAATCGATTGGAGTAAACCCCTGCAGTGATCCTATTGGTCCAGATAACTGGATATGACTCGGCAATAACTTTTTACGGCAACATTAACAACAAACATATCTTTCTTACACAACTCTTTTTAGTCGAATGAAATCCTATCCTTATCTCTAAGGTGGATTAGGCCTAGTTACTACCTAGAACCCCTTGTTTATGTAGCTCCTCCCTAGTTTCTCTCGAACACTAAGGATGTGTTATCTCGGTATTCTCTCGAACCCAAAGATTCTCCTAAAGAAAGGCTACTCTCGTAGCTCCTACAACCTTAAGGCATTAAGTTTTATTAACAAAACAGATTTTAGCATAGAACAACAACCATTCATTGAAATACAACTTAAACATCCAAGCGAACTCCCACCAAATAGGATTAGTTTATGGTGGGGTTTGAAATAAACAAGCACAAAGCAAGTTTCATTCGTTCCTTACAACCCAATAACAAAATATGAAAGCAAAGAACTAAGGGGAGGAGAGAAAACCTTCGACGTGCACTGCCAGATGCTTCCCTCGGTCACCAAGAACTGCCCCCAGCGAACTAGCTCCTCTCGGATGCCTAGAACGCCACTCCCTCAGGCTTGTCACGGAGAAATGCCACGGCAAGTAGGATTGACGGCGAAAAGTGAGACCTTCTCTCTCTAACTTTTTAAGCTCAAATCAGGGTGGAACCAAAGTCTCTAATATTATGGCTTCATCCTCTATTTATAGGGGAAAATTAATCCTATGACTTGGTGTTGACTTTCCTAGGAAACCCCTAAACCATGGTTAAGTTACTTGGGAGTCGGGCAGAGCTGGCTATGATCCAGCTTGGGTTGTTGGCTGAATGACCGACATGATCCCGTTGTAGGTGCCCAAGGACAGACAAGATCTACAGGGGCAGGAGACGTCATCAGCAAGGGCAGGAGACGTCATCAGCAGGACCGGCTGTAGCAGCCATGATCCCTCCAAGCGGATCATCGAGGCAGATTTCTCGGGCAGAGTAGGAGACAACTGATTTCAAAAATATCTTCTCGCACTTTGTACGCTTTTGAACTGCTAGTACAACTTGGCATTTTCATTCTTCTTAGCAGTCTCCTGATGTCACGACATTTCCTTTCCTCTTTTCCTTGCTCTCAATTCATGTACATCATTAGACAAGCACCTTTCCCATAAGGTGGCACCGCTCTAAAAATAAAATGTCGCGGCAAACTTAATTTCATCACATGCAACTAAATGCTTCTAAATGCATCTATATGGTCCTAAATGAGCTCTTAGACATTCAATAACTTAAGTGAAAAGTCTCAAAATGTGAGTTTTTTACGGAGTTATCAGTAGCACATCCCAAAAGATGTGTTCAATATTAAACAAACAAACAAAATTAGATTTAGAATCCATATATATCGGTAGAGTTCGGTGAGATGACTGAGCATATGCAAAAGTTTAGGCAAATATAATAATTTAATTATCCATTCAAGTTTAAGCCAATTAATCTTGGAATTAAATTTAAAACATATTTAGCAAACACGTGGAAGGCTTAGGTCCCTTAATTCAAATGTTTAAATTGTTTAAAGAAAATTTATAATTCAATTAAAGTTAATTTTAATGAAATTATTTTTGCTTTCAATCCCATTCTGCAACATCGAGAAATTGACGTGCATTCAATATTTTTTGTATAATCCTGACAAAATCCTCAATTTATGTAAGGGTTACCCTGAATTATAAAATAATTTATGATGCACCTTACTAAAATAATTTTTTTATCATAATACTTAGTGGTTTAGTAAAGTTTTTCAAAGTTTTTTTTAGCTAAAAATCTGTTTTAATTACAAAAGTAATGTCAAATGGGTAAAAAAATTACGGTGAAAATGAGGCTTTCAAACCAATCGTAAAAACTCAGATTTCTAGTTTTTTCATTTTTAACTTTGCATTTGGAAACAAATTATAATTTTACCTTTACTAATGAATGTGTTCTACTCAATAATGTATTTATATTTTATTTTAATAATTTAATCTAACATCTTAAAAATAATTTATTTTAATCATTTAAAAATAAATAAAATAAATAATTTTTATATTAAAATATTAATAGTAAGTTATATAAAATATATTTTTATTATAATTATATTTTTTTATTTTATATAGTTTAAATTGATATAATTCATATATAAGTAGAGATATAATTTAAATGTTATGTTTTTACTTTATAACATAATTGTCTATAATGAACATTTTATAATTTCAAACTCACTTTTTAACAACAATCACAAATAATTAAGTTTTAAACTACACTTTTACCTAACACTTTTAAATATATGTTTCTACAACATTTTAAAAATTATTTTAATTTAAAACATACTTTAGTTTAATAAAAAATATTTTTTTTAAAATTATACCAAACTAAGGGTCTATTTGTTCAGCGCTGAATGGTGAACCGTTCAACGTTGAATGCTGAATCGTTCAGCGCTGAATGCTGAACCGTTCAGCATTTAGCGTGTTTGCTTTTAACATCTGAATGAAGACTGTGTTGAATGATTCATCAAAACAATGTTGAATGATTCAGCATCAAAGTACATTCTGAATGATTCAAAGCTATTATCAAACAGCATGTCACATTCAGAGCTAATTCATACAGAGCCTTTGAATCATTCAGGCCATTGATTCATTTAGCACTTAATCATTCTGAAGTAAACAAACAACCCCTAACCCAAGTAATTTTGCCAATGGAATTTAGTTTTACTCTCAACAAATCATCGCTTTTAAAATTTGAACTTTGGCGGGATTCACTGAAACGCATCATTCCAATTTGAGTGACTACAAATAAATATTAGAAATTCCGCGGGTAAAGTGGATGTCAACGGCTCGCGTCTCTCAGCTTTTGTTTGCGGAATTGGGGATAACAATGGTGATTTTAGGGACGTCGAAGGAAAACCCGAGGGATAACATGGGAGACGATGCCAGATCCTCATCTCGATCTATCTGCCTTAGGTAAACCTATGAACTTGTTTGATTATCATGCTTAAATACACTGGAATTGTTTGTTTAAAAAGCATGCTCCAATCTTTTGCTTGCTTGAATTCCCTTTACAAAAATATTATTTAGGTGATTTTTAATCGGTCTTGTTGATCACGGGATCATTATAGTTGTATCATAACACGATTACCAGTCCTTATAGTTCTATAATAAACACGCCAATAATTGATGGATAACAGATTCAGAAAACAAATCATCCGCTGAAAAGAGCCGATTCCCGCTCCGTCCCCTCATCAACAATTGCTGTCATTGGCCTTTAATGTTACACACAGTCTTCTTTAGTTTGTGCATTTCGATATACACGATCTGTTCCTAAGAAGAGAAATTTCTCATTTGATTCAAACTTGCTTCGAATGCAATTCTTTCTTAATGCTCGATAAGATTTGTATGCTTTATAAGATAAACGGTTTCTGCATGTGTTAACCACCTTCTACTGGCCTAAGTTACTCTTACTCTGGTTGATTGGCGGGTATGATATTTGCCTGAATTGTGTATATTCAATAATTTTCAAGATATTAAAGGATCATACCTACATAATCATGTTTAAATATGCGTTGAAATAGTCGCGGTGAGTATTTTAGGGGAAAGAAAAAGTCTGAGCAGTATAGTTTGTGGCTTGTCTATGTTACTCATCTCAGGTAGTGTCGAATATGATAGTGATTGTTTTAACTTAAGAATGTCCAATTCGTTCTATATTTTCTTTATGGAAGGAGGGTTTTATTCCCTCCAGGTACTTCAGAAAAATGAAGTCATAAAAACACGTCATTTTATGTACTTATATCAGAAGAATCGAACATTTATATATATTGATTTATTGGTGCACATCTAGTGAATGGTCTGGCCATAACAGAGTCATTTACTATAGTATTGGACTATACCTCCTAACATACCTGTATAATCTTACATAGTAGGAACCCAGGACTGGAATAATCTCATTTAAGAAGAATTCCTGAAATAGGATGGCATCTAAATATATACTCTTTACATAATGAACGAATGGAATGAAAGGGGTCAGAAAAACCATGCCCACAACACAAATGGAAACACCATAAATTACCTATAAACTAAACTTGGCAAACATCATAAGCAGATTGGACTCTGTTATTAGATGGCTTGCCAATCTGCAAACAACTGATTGGAGGGACAGTAGGGTGGTCAACTCTCCGAAAGTTTGCCAACAGAATGGATCATACAGGTGGTAGCTTTCCTGCAGAGGCTTCAGCTGAATGGAAGATAAAGTGACGCCTATACATGGAAGGCTGTCACTGCAGGCTAAGTGTACAGCTTTACTGTGTATGTTCCTCTTATTCTTTCATAGGTGATTCCCGATAGAGAGACTGCAGCCGTTTGGTTCTTACATGTTCTTTTGTCACAATAAAATTGATCAATCACAATTGGAAGTTGGACCTCAGAAACTTGAATGTTTGAGAACAGAACCCCCTGAACATTGCCCGATCCCCCCTGCAGAAGTGATTTGAAGTTATACGCTAGAAACTGCTTACTAGCTACCTAGATTCATAAGAACATATAATCTTAGGAACTGAAACTGATTTCCCCAGCATTGGAATGGATAGGATTTTTAGGCCCATATAGTGTGATGAACTATAATTTATCTAAATTTTTTGTGCCCCTCTTTCCTTTTCTTGTTTTTAGTTGTCTTCTTTTTTCACTTGTAAATCATGTATTTGAGTATGCCGGTGGCTTGCAATTTATATCATCTGAATCCATTTTGTTAATAAATTATGGCTAAAGTACATTTACTTAAACCATTGCTCTATTCCAAAGTGGGAGTGAAGATTTTAACGTGTACCTGCCATGTCTTTATTCTGACACCATTCATTGTGTTATGCATGATAATATCTCGGACAGTAATGTTTGAGACACAGGCTTTTGTATTATCCTTCCCCAAGCTTCCAATGCTGATTCCATGCCCTGGTCCACAGTTCACATTGTGAATGTATATGTTTGAGCATCCTGTTTGTATCGAAATACAATCGTCTCTGAAGATACTAATTTTTTTATCCATATTATTATTATTATTATTATTATTATTATTATTATTATTATAAATATATTATAAAATTATTAAAAATAAATAAATAAAAAAAATATAATTACAGGCCCAATTACAACTGGACCGGCCCAGTTACAAACCAACCAGAGTCGGTCCAAATCCAACCAGAAACCCTAAATATTTGGGTTTCCAGTTAGGGTTTCCTAACCCTAATCTAAACCAGCCGCCTCATCACAACCGTTGGATCTGGCAAGATCCAACGGTCCACATGGTTCCAGAGAGAAACCCTAGGGTTTGATACCCTAGGGCCACGCGGCGCCGCTCCAGCTTCCACGCGGCTGCCGACAGCCCTCACCGCCTCCGCCGCTGCCACGTCCCAACCGAAGACTCCAGAAGATCATATACCAGCCGTCCACGCCACGGCTACTCGGTGAGTCACCACTGGTAGTTCGGTGACTCACCGAGAGCCCTTCTTCGGACCGGTCCGACAGCTACAACGGTGGTGGCTATAAAAGCCACCACCCATCTGCGAAAAAAAAAAAGAGGACAGAGATATAGAACGAGACAGAGAGAAAAAAAAAAAGATAGAGAGACATAGAAAAAAAAACAGAGAATAGAGAGACATAGAAAAAAAAACAGAGAAAATACAAACTAATACCAACGATCTCAGCAGAAAACCAAGAAAAAAAAAAGAAAAGGAAGAAGAGACTTACCGAGAAAGCCTCGACCACGGATCTCGCCGGATACAACAAAAACCGAAGGTATATTTGTAGATCTGCTCCGATTGGGAGTCGTTTAACGGGAAAAAAGTATCGGGACCGTCATTAGGACGGTCCGATCTACATTTAGATGTAAAAAAAAATTTTCCGGCCACCGAAGACGGTGGCCGGCGGCGGTGGTTCACGGCGGATGAACGCCGGCTAACGGCTGCCGGCCGGCTGAGCTTCTCTCAGTTTAGAGAGAAGACAGAGAATTCTTCTCTCTGTTTGAGAGAAAGAAAAAAAAAGAAAGAAGAAATGAAATGGCTGGCCCTTCGGGCCAGCCGATTTGGACTCTTATAGTCCTTCCCGAACGACGTCGTTTCGGGAAGGACTATGCGCGTAATTATGAAATAGTTAAACCCCGTCCGCAGTCCTTCGTATTTGTAAATTTTACATTTTAGTCACTAAATTGAATTTATAATATTTTTAATTTAGTCTTCGAATTTTAATTTTATTTATTTTAGTCCTTCATATTAAAATAATATATATTTAGGATAAATTACAGATTTAATCCATTAATTTTATAAATAATATTTTAATCCTTAGTTTATATTTTTAATTTATTTATTCTAATATCCAAATTTTAGATAATTTTATTTTAGTCACCAAATAAAGAAATAACATATTTAATCCCTGTAATTTAGATTAATTATGAATTAGATTTTAATTTTATTTTTTCGTTTATTTTATATGTTTTCATTTATTTTATTGTTTTAAAATATTGTTTAGTGGTATTTGTATTTTTATTATATTATTAAATATTTATTAATTATTTTTATAAATATGTAATAAATAGTATTTTTTTTTTAATATTTATTTTTAATATTGAAGAAAAAGGACAGTCTTAATACAACTGGATGTCCTATTCTGATATTTTAAAATTAAAAAGTAAACCATATTATTTAAATTATATTTATCAATATCAAAGAAAAGAGCTGTCTTAAGGCACCTAGAAGTTCTTTTCGGATATTTTTAAATAAATATTTTTTATATAATTTGAAATAATAGGATATAAATTAAATATATTTTTGAATTTTTAAATTTTAATAATAGAGACAATTTATAATTAAAAAGTACCATTTTGGGCGTTTAGGGTGCTAATCCTTCCCTAAACGTAACCGACCACGAATCCCTTTTTATTAAAAAGAACGAATTTTTGGTTATAAAACGCAGATCAGTTCATCTTTTAAATATGGTTTTCTTAAAAACTCTTTTAAAAGATAATTTTTAGGTATTCGACCTACCTGATCCAAAAGGCCGATGGCGACTCACAAATTATTTTCAAAATTATTCACATCAATTTCCCCGCCGAATTTAATATTTCGTGCCCGGACGAAAACCGGTTACGACAGCTTGGCGACTCCGCTGGGGACTGGTCAAACTTTTAAAAAATCAATTATAAATTGTCTCTATTAATTAAAAATTTATATATTAATTTTTAATTCTTTCTTTTCATTATTTTTATAATTTTTATGTTTTATTTTATTTGCATATTTTATTTCAGTATTTATTTTTATGTCAAAGGTTTGAACATTTCTCCTCACACACAACACTTGCATTGCATTACATAAAGCTCTATAATTGAGTTGTCCCTTTTAAGTGGAAGTGAAAGCGACGTCTTCGTGAGAATTTATTCTCCGTGTCAGACCTAGCAAGTAACTTTCGGGGTTCATATGCTCTATGTCTTCGTGAGAATTTATTCTCCGTGTCAGGCATAGAAAAATGTATCCCCTCGAATTGAACTCGATCCAATTTAGTCTGTAATGGACTAGGATTGAGGGTTAGCAACCCAAGGGGGCACTAACAAGGACAATTCGGGTACCTTTTACTCCTAGATCTGAAACCTTGCATATAAAAAAACCTTAGAAACTCTTCCAATCCGAAGTCATGCCGAAATTTTGTCCAAAATAGGTGTACACACAGGAGAAATGAATTATGTCTTTCCTGTTAATTTATTTATTGTTTAAATTACACGTTTATTTAAATTATTTAAATTTAGAAAAGCATGTTTAAATTAAATAAATGTTATTATTGAATTTTTTATGTAAACTAATTTATTTTCTTTTTTGTGTGTTCTTTATTTTTCTGTTTGCATTGCATCATACAGGATAAAAGACATTGTCCTTGTGTTAATTGTCTCATTGGAAAGCCTTCATCTATGGATAAAAAGTGTTCAAATCAAATAATTCTGAACTCAGAAGTAAGACAGTGGGCTGAGGATTTACAAAGACAAGAAGGAGACAGTCTGCAGGATGATTATGTATCTGACTTGGCCAGTTATGCTTCAGTTTCACTAAAAAGAAATGATATGCAAGATTTGCGAAGCATTTGGGAAAGTTGGGATTCAAACAAAAAATTGCAGTTTTATCAGATTACGGAGACATCCCATATCTCTCTATGTAGAAGTTGATGATGAATTACTCCGAGCCCTAGTTCAATTCTGGAATCCAGGGTACAATTGCTTCACTTTCAATAAGGAGGACTTGGTCCCTACTATTGAAGAATACACAACTTTGCTACATATCGAAGGGGCTTTGGAGAATCGAATCTATTCAAAGTCAATTAAAACTCACCCTTCGAGTTAAATTAGCAAAATTGCCGGAGTATGAGAAGAATGGGTAGCATCCCGTACAAAACAAAAAGGCGAAAGCGAAGGCATTGCTTGGACCAACATCAGAGAACTTATTCAGAGCCATCCAGATATTAAAGTACGATTCGATCTATTTGCTCTGGGTATATATGGTATGGTCATCTTCCCAAAAGTATTGGGATATATTGAAGCTGCAGTGGTAGACTTGTTTGAACAGCTACGAAGAAGATAATCCTGTTTCTGCAATCCTAGCAGAAACCTTCAGATCGTTAAATGCTTGCAGAAGGCTAGGAGGTGGATGATTCAGGGTGTACTCAGTTGTTATGTTTGGATCCGTAGTCATTTCTGGAGAACAGAAAAGATTTCATACCGACGCTTAATACGGATTATTCACCATTAAAGAATTTCTGGAGCAGGAATGGCCTAAAGAAATTAAGAAATATGGATTAATGCCTTTCGAAATCTGCAAAGCAATGACGTTATTTGGAGCCCCGTGGCAAATACAAAGGGATTCATTTACAAATGTGTGATTACAACTGGATAATTTGCTCGGATTATGGGGAAATTGGATCACCACTTCTGGTTATAAGACAGTATGAAGGTCGTCAATTTGTACCTGTCACTGCTGGACTACAGTCATGAGTTTGCATTCCACAGCAAAAATTATAAAAGAAATCATGGAACCGTTACAGCTTGGAAAACAACTTTTGATCCGAGCTAAAGCAGCAAAAGAAATGTTAACTCCTGATTATGAAGAATGGATCTGTCAGGAAAAACGAAAATATTCCTCTACCAGATCAAAATGAGGATATTTCTATGGAAGATCGCATCAAGGTGGTTCCTCAGAGATGAAATCCTGAGAGCTGATTTGAAGCAGAAAGAGAAGGCTGGTCGAAAGAGTTAGAGCAAATGAGACAAGATAAGCTATGTTGGGGTTGACATTGACTTTCATTCTCACAATGTGTAATGTTGAGAAAGATAAAGAAAAAGGTGAGGATGAGTACAGAGCCTTACAGAAAGATTATCAGGAGTATATAAATCCCGAAAAGCATGGACCCAGCAATCGACGGTACAAATGACCAGGAATTGAACATTGAGAAAAGACGAGTTGAAGATCTGAAAGGAAAGATAGCCGTCTACTCAAAAGCCTGGAAAAAGGAAAGCAAAAAATGGAAGATTGAGGTGACAGGAGAGAGCGAATTATAAAACACAAGGCTGAACGCCGCAGATCATGAATGAAATGCAAAGAGAAGGATCGAGCCAATATTTAGAAAGAGAAGAATGAATCTTTGATAAATTTGAAGGCGAGAAAATATCATGTTCAAGGGATTGAATCTGAAATGAACCAGTTGATTGGAGCTTGAAGTCAGAGACAAAAGATGGAAAATCCAATATTGAAAAAGAAAAATGGAATAGAAAGAAAAATTTCAACACCAGACTTGAGGTAGAACAAGTGGCTAGCAATTGGATGCAAAGATGCAGAAACAAAGATGTTCAAATCCAGAGCTTAATCAAAGAACGCAGGAAGCACAAACAAAACTGGAAGAAGATCTGGATCTCAGAAACAAAAATCAGAGTTTAATGCTTACATTTTGCAACTTGAGGAATCGTTGTTTCAAGAAAGGTTCGTTAGGCC